ATCCGATCCGATCCATGCACAACCCTAATTGCAATGTGCCCATTTTGTATCAACATATGAGGATACCACAGGTTTTGGACATAGAGATGCCACTGTTTGACGTTGCGATCTCCGTGTTTACGCAAGCTATGCATGGTTTGGAGATGATATACTTTGAATGGATAATGGACTTGATGCTACTCAAGTGTACTCAAATCAAGGCTATAAAGGATGTCTGGATGATAGACACTGAGTTTAGCGTACATTGGGACTAGATATTACATGCTCCAATTTATGTGAACTTATTTGACTGATTAAGAAAAGAGAGAAGACTTTTGAACTTGTGGTGTGCAATGAGGCATATATATTTTGTATGACTATAAATTATTACATAAAGGTAAATTATTTCCAGATACAGATTCAAATAGGCCGATAAACCACCCGATAATAGCTAAACCGATACCAATCCGCCCGATATCTTATCGAATGGCTAGCGGATTAATATATTTAAAAGACGATAACCGATAAGCCGAACCATTAAGCGTAAATAACCACCCGATAAGCAGCCCTGACCTTGGGCGAAGCCATGATTTCAAACTTATGGATTCGTGATTTTAATCGTCTTATGTTACTAAATTCTAAATTAATAATTATACATATTCAATGAACTTTTTAAGATAAATATAGGGTTCGAACCAAAGTTAGTGAGTTCGGCCGAACCCGCTCTCGGCACTGGTACTCTAAATTTCAGAAATTAACTGTCGGTCAGGGCAGTACAATAAGGTTTAAGCCAGAATTCAAGACTTAATTAAAGAGTGGGCTAATCCTCATGATTAACTCTAGTGATGGAATTATCTTAATTTCTTTTATTTTTCAGTAGATTATTCAAGAAAGTAATTGAGTTAAATAGTTAATCGTATTGCAGTTAATATCAAGCAGAATTCAAGTTAGAGGTGAGTAAAAACCTATACTCAACTGGTTTCTCCATAACTAGCACTGGCGTTTCAATCTGCCTTTTGGCTAATATATACTACAAAAAGAAAAAATTAGAATTAGTTATAAACTTCGTTGTTAATCTGTCGCTAAATCGTTCATAGCTAATACAATTTCTTGATAATGTATCACTAAATAGATTAACGACGATTTTTCCTATTTAGCTACAGAATTTGTCCGTCGTAACTTTTATCATCCCATCGTGGAAAACCTTCAAATACAACAAACATTCAGTCTGCCCATCTTTTTTACCTATTCTAAAACAGACGTTATTATACTTGCATAGCTAAAAACAAAGTATCTTCTTTACTGTCATCACTGGCGACAGAATGAACAAAACAGAAGCAGGAAGCAGGTACATCACAAATACTGCAGCATACATGTATTCACTACTAAAAAACAGGAATTAGCGACGGACGAAATCTATGATTAAAAAGAAAAATTCTTCGCTAATCCTCTTTAGCGACGGATTAACGATAGATTATCAGAAAATTTTGTTAGCTACAATTTAGCGACAGATTAGTGACGAAATTCGTACCTAATTCCAGTTTTTTGTAGTGATTTTTCTCTTTCTCCATTATCATTTGTACTTAATACGCATTTACAAAAAAATAGGAAAATGACATTATATAGTCGTTCTTAACATAATAGTCCGAAAAAAAATATTTTTTGTTTATATATACATTATGTATGTTATATATAAAAATTATATAAATTTTATATACTTTTTCGGTTGTCAAATATAAATATTTTCTAACCTCGTCTAAGAGCGATAATACAAAAAACAAAACTTAAGATATCAAAAGTCCCAAATATGCATATATATTAAAATCTTATACTTGCCGAAAAGTGATGTGCGTACATAAAGATTACCACTGTACGGCAGTACGCATTTGCAGTGCTTAATGAGTTGTCCTGCAAAAATGGAAAGGATAATCACGTTAATTAGCATTAAAAATTACCGACTAAATAAACAACAAAGGGTCAAATATATCTCTCATACTTTCGAAAATGGTCTAAGAATACTCCTCGTTATATTATTGGGTTATCTATACGCTGCAGTCATACTTTGGGTTCAAATATACCTCTCATTTAAACGGAGAGACACGTGTCATCGTCTTGTTGGTCAATTCTAAATATCTCCTAATTAATTAAAAAGACTCATTATCCATACCCGAAAAATAATTTTTTTTTTGTAAAAACTGAAAAAAAACTAAAAAACATTTTTACTAAAAATTGAAAAAAACAAAAATATTAAAAACTGCTTTAAAAAAACTGAAAAATATTTTCTAAAACAATATTTTTGTAAAAACTGAAAAAGAAAACTGAAAAGCAATTTTCTAAAACAATTAAAAACTGAAAAAAAAATTATTTTTTCAGTTTTTACAAAAACACTGCTTTAGAAATTTGCTTTTTAGTTTTTTTCAGTTTTTACAAAAACACTGCTTTAGAAATTTGCTTTTTAGTTTTTTTCAGTTTTTAGAAAAATATTGTTTTAGAAAATATTTTTCAGCTTTTTTTAAAGCAGTTTTTTTTGGAAAAACTGGAAAAAAAATTCATTTTTTTCAGTTTTTAGTATAAAAAAATTCAGTTTTTTCACAAAAAAATTGCTTTAGAAAATTGATTTTCAGCTTTTTGTTTTCAGTTTTTTCAAAAATATTATTTTAGAAAATATTTTTCAGTTTTTTCTAAAGCAGTTTTTTTTGTAAAAACTGGAAAAAAAATTCATTTTTTTCAGTTTTTAGAAAAATATTGTTTTAGAAAATATTTTTCAGTTTTTTCTAAAGCAGTTTTTTTTGTAAAAACTGGAAAAAAATAAATTTTGTTTTTTTTCAGTTTTTAGTAAAAATAATTTCAGTTTTTTTCAGTTTTTATGAAAAAAAAAATTGCTTTAGAAAATTGATTTTCAGCTTTTTGTTTTCAGTTTTTTCAAAAATATTATTTTAGAAAATATTTTTCAGTTTTTTCTAAAGCAGTTTTTTTTGTAAAAACTGGAAAAAAATAAATTTTGTTTTTTTTCATGTTTTAGTAAAAATAATTTCAGTTTTTTTCAGTTTTTACAAAAAAAAAAATTGCTTTAAAAAATTGCTTTTCGGGTATGGATAATGAATCTTTTTAATTAATTAGGAGATATTTAGAATTGACCAACAGCACGATAACACGTGTCCCTCCGTTTAAATGAGGGGTATATTTGAACCAAAAGTATGACTGCATGGATATATATAACCCAATAGTATAACGAAGGATATTTTTAAATCATTTTCGAAAGTAAAGAGGTATACTTGGCCCTTGCCGAATAAACAATTGGACGTACAAAAAAATTGAAGAGTCAATGATATTGAAAATTTTCCTCAATCTTAATCTTAACATGGAAATTGCTACTGTCAGCGCCACTAATCCAAATTAATAATCTAGTGCTCTACTAATTGGATTATTATTAACCACATAAATTTTTCAACCTTTTCCTTTCAATAAAAATAGTCTTTTTCTGAGTGCATTACCTATCTGGTTAAGCATGTCCAAAGACACTTTTATGATCCATTTTGAATCAAAAGCTCGTACTAAGTTTTTCCAAAAAGCTTCACGAAAAATTTAAAGTCACTCGTGAATGAAATATCTCGTATTTATCCGAGGTCTAAGTAAGAGCCGAATTCCAAGTGAGTAATGATATAGGTAACCTACCTAATATAAGTATAAATGACTAATTCTAAGGCTTGAACTCGTAATTATATGCCACACAAAAACAATTCTAACAGTGTTCCAAGGTTCCCTTCAGTATTCTTACACCTTAAATAATTTTTTTTCTACATCGCCGATCAATACAAAACTTTATTGGCGCGCCCAGTATTAACCACCGTTTTTCCCGTTAATTTCTTTCTGAATAAATTAACCTACTACTTTAGAGGAACATGACTCAATTCAAGATTTCAAGCCCCCACTTCCCACTCTTCTCTCTCGTCAAACATCCATATGTTATGATAAGTAATAGCATGAGAACAATTATAAGTGGGAGATGGGCATTGCACTTTGCCCAAGAAACTTATCTCATTTCATCTTTCATGTATATCTTATTCTATCTGTGGGGTCTAAATTAAAATTTTCAACAGATCACTAAACAAGAAATTAGCCTATGAGAAAGAAGATAAAAAAGAGCCAGTGCAGATTTTTTATAATTTACAAATGCACAATACACTTCATCAATGCATGTTCGTACACTATCGTATCAAGAAGTACTACTGTTAAAGTGTAAGCCATCTAGAGCACTTCGGGGTTGTTTGGTTCACATATTAATTATACAAAAGTATAAATATCATATATATTATTTAGCAATAAACAATGATAAAGGGGTTGTTATGTTGTGTATATTAATAAAGCGATTATGCAATGAATAGTATTGAAAATTCTATGTTATGGTAACTTACTTTAAGTTCATTTTTTAATTACGTATGGCTAATTATTCACGTATTCTTATTTCAATCTTGCATAAAATAATATACAAATTCTCATATAATTTAATTCGAAATATTATTTACTACAGTTATTTAACTGCTGCGTTAATTATGCTAAAATTATTTTTTCTTGTACAACCAACCAAATAGCATTAGTTACTTTAATTCTCTAATCTAACAATGTATTATTTTGTGCAAAATTTTATTGAGATTATTTTATTTAGTCACTCAAAAGGGAACCTTGGAGTAATAGTAAAGTTCACTTCGTATGATCTATAGGTCACCGACTCAAGCTGCGGAATCAGCCACCAATACTTTCATTAGGTTAGACTGTCTACATTACACCTTTAGATGCAGCCCTTCCCGGACCCTACATGAATGCAAGATACTTCGTGTACCGGAGTGCATTTTTTTTTTGGCTCAAACCAAATGACTCTATAGTAGTATCAATCACACGTGCTTTGCTTCTTTTAGTTACTCAACAGTGTTGACCTTTGAGTGATCCCAAAAGATTGGCTCTCCCTCAACTCTTATATATACCCTTTTCACTTTCATATAAACACAACCCTATGATCTATCTCCTCTTCTCTAACTTCATAAACCAACTACCTCTTTGTATATTCTATTTAAAGAAACATCAAAATGATAGATGGAAAATTTCTCAAGGCATGTCAAAGAATCATACCTGACATTCCTTGTGCTAATTGTGACAAATGCCGTAAATGGCCAATATGGCCATTTTTGCAAGAAGAGAAGACTATCCCAAGTGATGTTCCAAAGGGTCACTTGGTAGTATATGTAGGGAAATACCAAAAGAGGTTTGTAATCAAAATCACTTTGCTCAATCATCCACTTTTCAAAGCATTGCTAGATCAAGCCCAAGAAATTTATGACTTCACTTCTGAATCAAAGTTATGGATCCCTTGTGATGAAAACATCTTTATCAGTGTCATAAGATGTGCCAAATCTCCAAAAAATCGACGTGTTTCACTCTGCTTTTGATGTTGTTTTTTATTTTCCACTCAGTATCTAGTACCCGCATTGAGACCAGTCTAAATTCAGATTCGCGCCGGAAAATCCCACATTGAGAGTAAAACGCTCCCTAACAAAGATGACTTTATACTCGGGGCTCGAACACGATACCTCTAATAAAAGATGAAGGAATAGTTAATTATCACTCCACCACGACCGAGGTCACTCTGGTTTTGATGTTTAAAATCATAGAGGTTGTGATTAAATTTCATTTGTGATGTTCAACTCATATAGTTTAGAACGTTGACATCTTTTTTTAAGTTTATAACCTGTTGTAGACGACATCCAATTGTTTGTATATTCGTTACCTATGAAGCTGAAAAGCTTTACTTCTAGTAAGCCAGTAAATTCATTTCAGAGTACATTTTGTTGACCTGATTCTTGAACCTTGTGCGTGGAAGTTTTTGCAGAAAAGAATCTAGATTATCCATCACCAATTAATTTTACATATGTGATTTTACTTTACTCGCTATAGCAGCAGTAAAGACGAAAAGATAATTGTCTAGAGCTAGAAATTTGACTTAATTCGAGTCATTTATATTTTATGAGCAATTCAAACACAATTCAATTATGTTAATGCGATAAAAATAAAATTTGTGACTTTACTATTATAGATTTATAGCATTAAAATTTGGTTACTTTAATGTAATAAAAAGTAATTTTATAACTATACTTTTATAATGAGTGAAGTTCATCGATGACTATGGATGAAAAATTAGAGGTGTACAAAGAAAATCGATAAACCGCACCAAACTAATAATTCGAGTCAAACCGGAAAAAAAAATTCGATATGGTTTGGTATTGGGAAAAAACCCCACCATATATAATTGGTTTGGTTTGATTTTAACTTTAAAAAAAAGGCAATTCGAAAGCAAACAAACCCGATAGTACATTTATACAATTTTTATAAATATTTTATACATATAAATATTTATTATAATATAATTTATAAATATTCTTAAACTTTTTTACAGTTTTATCTTTTAACGTATTAGGTTGAAGTAGTTTCCACAGAAATCTTGTTCTCCCACTAACCGTAACCCTAATGTGCTGGCTTGGAGCTTTGTGGGATCTCCCTGGGGAGAATATCTTTTACAAACTTATAGGCATACATTATACATCAGAGATGTGGCCGTGGAAGGGAATTTGGTCCTAAGAACATCTCAATTGGATGGTTTGGTTGGGAACAAATTATTCCGAAATTATTTGACGGGATTATAATACGAAAATTAAATAATAACGGGATTAATTAGTGATGTATTTTCATTGTGAGATGTTTGGTTCATTGGACAAAAAATAGGATATATAGTTTGGATAAATTTTTATTTTCATTTTTAATCTTAGATTTTTTAAAGGACTTAGGGGGAAGAGCTTTGAAAAGGGGGCATCTTTGACATTGTAGTATTTTATCCCGGTATTAAGTAATCCGGGATTATTATCCCACATTCAATATGGAATAGAGTAATACCATAGTTGTGGTGTAAATTAATCCCGAAATTGTTAATTCCGAATCTAAAAATTCAATCAAATGCGAGGTAAAATAATCACATCTAGTCTCGAAATTATTATCCCTTATCTCACCAGCCCGAAATTATTATCCCTTATCTCACCAACCAAGCGACCCTAGTGTGTAGCGAGAAGCAGATTGCAAGGTTAACTGGCTAAGAAAGGTGGTCTTGGAGGTGACTGAGTTAGCCATGGTTGCAGAATTTGAGCTCTTATTTCTCTGTCTAAGTTGTAAAAATATCATTGTCAATCTTCATCGTTTGGTTGAAAACAAGGTTACACCAGGATTTGGATACATAATACCAAGGTTTTGGTGTATAAAATTTATATTGGTATTAATTAATACACTAATAAGCAAACGAATGATAAATGCAATCCCAAATTTAATACCAGGATTAATTCCAGTAACCAAGCGACCCAAAAGATTATTAGCTTACAGTAAAATGGCAACTTTAATATAAAAAGAAAAGTTGGTAGAAACGGCTTTTTGCATCGTTTTGCCCAAGTTGGATGATAAATCAAATTCTACCCTCCTATTCTCCATGCTTTAAAACAAACCGGCAGTAACTGAAATAAACTAACCCGAAACACTTTCTTATTATGGAACCTATAGAATCATCGTAATTGCAATAAACAACAATAGAATGTTATTCTCAAATGATGAAGAAAAGGTAATTAAAATGCCTTACAACATATGGGATGGGAATTGGTGTGGATATACCATTATCAATTGGCATAACCAGATCAAAAATACTATTAAGAACCGGATAGGTTTCTTCTTAACAGAAGAACATATCACAAGAGAAAATCCCTCATTCAAAATTGGGCTTCTCAGGGTATGTGCAACCAGACCTTTGGATGATAACATTTGATGCATAACAACCTGCTTTGACACAATCTTCAATAGGTTTTCCTTGGACCAACTGTGCAAGGAATCCTCCAACAAATGCATCACCTACAAAAGTGTAAACAGAAATAATGCAATTTCTTGGGTATTCATGATTTGTTTACCAAGCAGAAGTACTGAAAAACAGGGCGCACACAAGGAAAATTTTTAATGCAATTTGTGCATCACATGAAACAGTTCGACCAATAAGTTAATTTAACTTTAGCGGAAGAAATCAAGAAGGCAAACTAGAGACAAGCTAGGAAGTGTAACATTATGTAGTTTTGTCATGTTTAAGATTTGGTAAAAATATTTACCATCCTACTTAATCTCTAAAAACTTGTAAAAACTTCACGGAAACATTTAATTTTTCAGAAACAAAAGGAGAAACAATGCTAGTAAAAGATGCAAAACAAGTAGCCTTCTCCACCGACTCTGTTTCTCTCTTAGCACATGTTAGCCTAACATGCGCATCCATAGGGAAGAGGACTCGGATTCCTAAGCAGAAAGTGATCGAAGCTCGAGAAACCAATAAGCAAGTATCAGCACAGACGCAGAAGCAAGGAAATCAAGTAACAGAGATTTGCAGCACTATGTCAAACCTAAAAATGGCGACAAGGGCATTGGAAATTGGGCATGTTCGAGGTGAGGAGAAGCAGGGGAAGTGTGTACCAGAACCATGCAGTGATGAATTACCATCTCAATCAGAAATTGATGAAGCAATTACAGAGGAAATCAATGGAACAGTAATGGCGGCAACCAATGGAACAGTGAAGGTGCCTAAACCTAAAACTGCTGTACATGAATGGGAGGAGGGGATACAGGTACCAAATTCAATAGCTAGACAACAGCTAAATTCTACTGGTAGGAAGTCATGGGCTGATGAGGTTAAAGCTGTAACTGAAATTAGGGCTAAACCATCGATCTGGGAAAACTTTGATATTACCAGAAGAGCAAATGTTGGTTTCAAGCTGGAATATGTGAATCCAAGTAAGAATGGAGAAACTGTACTGTGTGAGATGAAAACTAGAAGACATCTCGTCTGAGATCGAATATTGGCAAAATGTCATTGTGTGCTATGTACTGGGGGCACACACCCCTTTCAATGTACTCAACAGCTATATACAAAGGCAATGGGGGAAACATGGTATTAACAATGTCTCTATGTTGAAGAATGGCATTGTGCTGGTGAGATTTGACACTTCCATTGGAAAGGAAGAGGTGCTTCAAGGAGGAATCAACCACTTCGACAACAAGGCTTTCACTGTAAAGGCATGGCATAAAGATATGAAATTTACAAGGGAAGAGTTGTACACAGTCCCAATTTGGGTGAAGCTACCAGCTTTGGACTTTAAATACTGGGGTCCTAAAGGGCTCAGCAAAATAGGAAGCATGATAGGAAAGCCTTTGATGGCTGATAAGAACACTGAAAGAAAGATTGGTCTGAACTTTGCAAGATTACTCATTGAGGTTGATGTAGACTCTCCACTACCAGATAAAGTGTTTTTCAAAAATGAGAAAGGGGCCCTTGTGGAGCAAAGAATACAGTATGATTGGAAGCCTGTGTTATGCAAGCATTGCCAAAAGTATGGCCACTCTAAGGAGGAATGTAGAAGGAAGAAGCAACCATCTCCTCCTAAACAGCACAAGGAAATGACAGTAGATGACAGTAGCTACTGTAAATGGCACAAAGGATGGTCAAAAGACTAGACAACAGGAGGCCATTAATCTTACTGTAGGATCACCAAAACCACAAGAAGAGAAGGGCACAGGCACATCACTAGATGCTGGAACTAAGCAAGCACAGGAGACAAATGGAGGAAGAAAAGGACCTAATGCAGCAGGATGGGTGACTCCTCTTAATACCAGGAAATCACCTACAATCCACACGCAGCAGATACAAACTACTCATAACACCTTCAATGTGTTGAGAGATGTTGGTACTAGCAGAACACAACAAGGTAGTCAGGTTCAACATGGGGGAGGCAATGTCCTTTCTCCACATGGGGATGGATAGTATACTATGCTGTTATGTTAGGGGTTTAAAAGCCCCTAACAAGCAAAAGGAGGTTAAACTCCTTTGTAGTAAGGAAAATATTGGCTTAGTTGGACTGCTGGAGACAAAAGTAAAGGCAAAAAAAATCGATGGAATAGCTAATAATATGTTTGGAAGAACAGCACAGAGTATCACATGTTTGGTGAATGATATTGTTGCTCAAGTAGAGTTCCAACTGACAGTTGTATATGCATTCAATAGTAAGGAAGAAAGAAGAGAGTTATGGCAGCATTTGGAGAGCATTAAGGTGGGGATCAATAAACCATGGTTGATTCTGGGAGATTTCAATTTAGTACTGCAAGCAGATGATAGAATTGGAGTTCCAGTTAGCATGGGAGAGGTAATGGAATTCCAAGCCTGTATTGATACTTGTGAACTAATAGAATTACCATGTGGAGGTTGTAGATACACATGGAATGACAAACATGGGGACAAAAGAATCTTCTCAAAAATAGACTGGGCTTTTGTCAATAGGGAATGGTTGGACACTATGTCAGTGGTTCATGCTAACTTCCTAGTGGAAGGGACAAGTGATCATTGTCCTCTAAAAATAGCAAAAATTATCGGGGCATCAAAGACTAAAAGAGCATTCAAATTCTGCAATGTATGGACTCAACACCCTCAGTTCAAGGAGGTTGTTGCACATGCCTGGCAACAACATATAGAGGGTTATAGTATGCTCCAAGTAATCAAGAAGCTGAAGATACTGAAGAAGACTCTAAAGAAGCTAAATCAACAAAATTTTAGGAACATTTTAAATGAAGCTGAAGATGATCGAGCAGCCTTACAACTAGCTCAGACAAAACTGCATGAGAAGCCTTCAGATGTAGAACTGCAAGAGCAGGAAAAGATAATTCACCAGCAATTTAGGAAGTCCATCCATCTTGCAGAAATGTTTTTACAACAGAGGAGTAAGGCTAATTGGATCAACCCAGGTGATGACAACACCAGATATTTTATTCAGTTATAAAGCACAAACGACTACAGCAGGCTATTACTAAGAATAAAGATCATACAGGGGCAGTGGTAACAGATAACACATATAGCCAATGTTCTAATATGTTATGACTTGCTTAGACACTACAACAAAAAGACCTCCCCTAGATGCTTAATGAAAATAGACCTAAGAAAGGCCTGACATGATTAACTGAGAGTTTATTGCAGAAGCCTTAAGAGGTTTTGGATTCCCAGGCTCCTTCACTAGGCTGGTAATGACTTGTGTAACCACAACACAATTTTCACCTAGAGTTAATGGGGAGTGTCATGGGTATTTTGAAGGAAGGAGAGGACTTAGACAAGGGGACCCCATATCCCCCTTGTTATTTGTTCTGGTTATGGAATATCTTTCAAGAGTCCTAAGCAAGATGAGTGAACTACTTGATTTTAGATTTCATCCCATGTGTAAGGCTACTAAGTTGACACCTAGCATTTGCGGATGATCTTATGATCATCTGCAAAGGGAATGAAAGGAGCTAGAGTCATGGAGCACTTCAGCACTTCAGTGAGGTCACAGGGTTGGAGGGAAATCAGGAGAAGTCTAACATTTTCATAGCTGGTGTAGATGAGATCACAAAACAGTCCAATATCAGACAAACAGGTTTCACATTAGGAACCTTGCCTATCAGGTACTTGGGCCTCCCACTTACTTCAAGAAAATGGAATAAGATGGATTGCAAACAGCTAGTGGACAAGATCACAAACAGAATAACTGCCTATACAAGGCAATTGTCATATGCTGGTAGATTGCAGGTTATTATGGCAGTGTTGTTTTCCATTTATAATTTCTAGACATCAGTGTTCATATTACCACAAAGTGTAGTCAAAGAGGTTGATAGGAAATGCAAGGAATTCTTATGGGGCAAAACATATGGGACAAGTAAGATCACACTTGTAGCATGGGACAAAGTGTGTGTGCCAAAAAAATATGGGGGATTGAACATTAAAGGATGCTGTAAATGGAATGCTGCTTCTATAGGGAAGCTACTATGGCAACTTGCCAGGAAAAAAGACATCCTGTGGGTGAAATGGATCAACAGTATCTACATGAAGGATAAAGAGTCTATATGGGAACACAATCCACCAGGGGACTGCAGCTGGTATTGGAAGAAATTGAACTCTCTCAAGATACAGATGACAGGATGGTATCAGAATAATAAGTACCTACTAACTGCAACAGGAGAATACTCAGTGTCTAGGAGTTATCAACATATGCTGAGACCTCTGGACAGAGTAAGGGAAGCTGACTTAATATGGAGTTCTGTTATGCTGCCTAAACAGAGATTTCTAGTGTGGTTAGCATAACCAAAGAGAGACTAAGTCGACTAATGATTCATGTAGCAATGCTGCTTGTGTGATCAAACACAGACAGAGACACAGCTGCGTCTCTTTGGCAAATGCAAATGGATTTCAGAGCTTAGAGAAAAACTGAGCACATGGTTGGGCATCAGGTTACAGGACACTGCAGCAAGCCAGATGATCAAATGGATTAAAAGGAAAAAATGGAGCCAGTTCCAGAAGGAAAGAGTTGTAGCAGCATGGGGTGCAAGCTGTATTATACTTGGCAAGCAAGGAATTGGATGATCTTTAGGAAAGGAAATGTAGATAGAGATTTTGTATTTGGTCAGATAAAAAGAGAGATCACATACATATTAGATATATTGCATAAGTCAACTAGAGCTCGCAAGAGTCAGTTGCTAATTCAGAAGTTATGTAACTAGTTGGGATTGTTTGTATTGAGATCTAATGGCTGTGGCACTCTTCCTAGAAGGTGGACAAGACATTAGAGGCTCTTTAGGATGTAATGTTTGGATTGTTATGCTAATACTTCACATTTATTACCCAAAAAAAAAGATGCAAAAAGATCTCTCTTTTTCTTCTCTTTTTGATCAAGAAAGCAGCAAAGAATCTTTAATAGTTCAAAGTTTACAATTCTGGTTCCTACCAGCTTTAATCGAATTTCCTATACAAAAGACTTGAAGCTTATTAAATGCTTTAAAGGGTGCAACTTTATCAGAACAGAGGCAAAAATGACAGAATTCAAAGAAGAGTACCAGTTAATCAGGAAACATATAGTTGCCACTAAATGAATGGGTAGCTTAACTCTATGGCAATAGAAACAAGCAAAACTAGCATAAACCACATACCAGCGCCATTGGTGTCAACAAGTTTCTCTTTTGGCAAAGGAATAACTGGGAACAATTTCACCTTCCCATCCTCAGCAACAACAACTGGATCAGCACCCTGTGTAATGACCGTGATTCTCTTGTGTGTTCCTGATGCCTTTGGCCATTGCGAGATCTTCAAAGCTATTTCCTCAACATTATCAGTCTGGTCATTAAAGCACAAGTTAGCTATGTAACACACATCCAAGTCAATTTGAGAAACCTGGAACTCATCTAAGCACCCATTACCTCCCAGCCGTGGACTCTAGAGAAGGTTCTTGCTTCTGTTTCATTACCAAAGACAAAGTCCATATACCTGAAAACAAGAGATACAAGCCCTAATCAGTATCTGTCTGCATTCAAATAACTTTAAAGAGGTAGGACATTGGCCTTACGGCAAGACTTTCTCCTGTTGATCCTTGAAGAACTCACAGATAAATGGTGCTGAAAGGTTCATTGAGAAAACCTGCACAATGTGGAAACTTACGTGATTGTTTGACTTAACTCTACAAAACGCAGTAAAACCCAAACATTGTCAAACAGTCAGACCTTGTTTTTGGCAGCTGCATGCTCAGCAACAAGCTGAATAGATTCTGGAGAAACTGTGAGGAAGAATCCAGCAATGTAATAGTACTTGGCCTTCTCCACTGTACAGACAGACACATCAGTGTATATAGCATGAAAATTAGAGATCCGCGTATAAACACCAGGAGTAAGGATTTCTACCCAAAGCCCAGTTCTCTGGTCGTTTCAAATGGTCAACCTTGTAGCAGTTTGCAGCTGATAAGTTTGCAACCAGCGACCTGACCCGAACATCATTAGTTCACAAGAAGCATTAGAAACCTTGGGAAGACAGTTTATCATGTTTTTTACCTTTACTAATTGAAAAATAATCTTTCTTCTTTGCCCTCCTTTTCAGTCAGCATAAGCTATAGTTTAATTGTACAACAGCAAGGAGGTAAGACAGAAAGCAAATTACTGTAGACTAACCTTTCGCCATCAAGCACACAGACAGCACAAGTACCCGTTGGACTCTCATCCTCATAGTAGTGAACCTAAAATGCACCCATGTGTAGAAACCATATGAAATTAAAGCCTCTCTTTACCATGTTACNCTTCCCAATAGAGCCCATGTAACTTGTTGCACCTGGAATTTGAAGCATCCACTGCAAGTGAAAAATGGAAAGTTGTTATTCTGGACTAAATAGGTCATGCAAGATTGCAAGAACAAATGACAACACACCTGAGCTACTCTGATTGAATTTTGAGTTGCACCTGCAATTCAGAATGAAAAGACAAACGTGTTCAGTGTGTCTGTGTCGTGGTATCTCCAATGCAAAATATAATTCAATAAAAATGTTAAGTAAAGTATCAAGTGATACCAATTTACCTCCAGCAATGTATTCAACACTAAACTTGGATGTCATTTCATCGTACCTACGTTATAAAATTCTTTATCAGCATTTTGAATGAACAAGCATATTCCTTATCAAGGCACAAGATGCAACTTTTATCTTCAGCATAATAAGTTCTAGTGACTACTCTCTCTTTATATTTGCACACCAAACATAATACTATCCAACAAGGCAAACATTTCACCTTTAATATCAGAAAAGTAATAGGCCCATCATTTAAAGAAACAATTCATATTGACCACGAAGAAGGTTAACTGTAACCAGAAAAATATCTATACAAGCATCTTTTGAATGAGTCTATAGCAGCCAGTCATGCGCTACTTAAGAAAGCAATAAGCCTATCTATAAATGAAATTGAAAAATGCTAATATTTCTAATTTATAGTGAATCCTCAGGAAATCATGGCACCATGTCTCACTTTCCCGCGATAATATGGATTAAACCATTTGTATTGCATATTCCATAACAATGCTAGGCGATACAATCTATGACTTCCAAGTATGAACAAAGATCAACCCAAAATATGCTTTTCAAGTGGCAGTGTAATACATTTAGCTCGTAGAAAAATTACATTGTTTAAGAATTATTAAGTACGGATAAGTAACGAGGCACTCCATTTACTATTTAACAGATGAAATCAGGAATAACTGCAAGAAATATTAAAATAAATCTATTCAATTAATAATTATGAATAAATCATCATTGCCTGAATCAAATGGCAAATACTTTTCATTCTTAAACACATTAATAATGACCCTGATAACCCGATAATGGTACCCAAATGACAGTGAAGCTCGCGGCTACCTAATCCAGTCAGTTGAGCTAAACTAATTAGAGGCGCAAATTTATCAAAAAAAAGGAACAAAAAAGACAAACTGCAAATGCAATCTGCTAAGCTAGGCAGTGTGGATACACACGTAGAACTAAGATGAAAGGAAACAACTTACATAGACACGTGCTTTTCCTCAGCAAGAATTGCATTGTTCGGCTTAATGTCGTACCTGAGTTAAAATCATGCCATTCAAATAAGAATCTTACTTCTTACAACAAAACACACACACACACAAAGCTCCATGTAAAGCAAATGCATTAACCCAATCCAAGATCCAAAATTTAAGCAATAAGTGGCAAATAAACATCTAGCATTCACCAGATCTATGAAATTAAATCAAGTAACACGTATTTTTTTAATAGGAAATTAGCTGAAAATGGGAAAGATGTAAAAAACATTACTTGTTGAGGAAATCTTGATCGATAACAGCTGAGATATCGAGCAATGGATTGCCCATACCCAAAAGAATACCCTCAGAATCCATTTTTTGATATTTCTGTAAATTTGTTTTGTTGTTGAAAATGGAGGTTCAGATCTTAAGGTAGGTGCTGTTCCGGCTTTAGGTATCAAACTCTTTATATAGAAATAGCGTCGGTGTTGGTGGGTAAATGATCGTGACGCCGTTGATTTTATATTTCAAGTTTTTTATTAAAAAGTTTCTTTTTCCAAACTAAATACAACACTTCATCTTTTTATTAAAAGTGACACCTTTTCCCCTTTTTAATCAGAATAGGAAGAATGACATATTTATATGTATAAAATTTATTTGATTTTAAATTTTTTTGTTTAATATTTGATATTTTAATTTTGTAGGCACAAAAATATTTTTGACTTATTTAATCAAAAAAGTTCATATCAAATAAAACCTGAAAAGTATTGTTAAACTAATATTCCTAATCACTTACCATAAAGAATTACAATCCTCGAATAATTTTATGTAGAAAAATTAACTTCCTAAAAACTTAGCAAACTAAATAAATATGACTAAACATATAATATTATAGATATTAAGAGAGTCATTATTTTACTAATTTCATGCGTCATCATTAAACTTTACCTATGTATAAGTAAAGTCAGTAAAATTATTATGTGTCTCACCAAAATCATTAAAAATAAGTAACGTTTTAACATGAAACAACATCGAGAAAATACGAAATTTAGAAGACAAATGGAGAAGGGATATGACAAGCTGGATTTCTTCGAAATAAAAAATTGCTGACTTGTCAATTTTCGAATTGAGTTTGCAATGAATTACATTTTTTGGGCAATTAACATATAGTACAGTGACTTTAATGAAACAAAAAATATAGTAAGCCTTTAGCGATATATATATAAGTGATAAGGTGCTATAACTTTAACGAGACAAAAAATAGTTCTGTAAATTATTATGCAACAAGTACAATTCAATGACTTTAATTAGACATACTTACTTTCTGTGACCATGTATAAAGTTAACTCTAATTTCTTACTCACAAAAGAAACACAATGTATGTCACACACATCTACGGATGCTTGATTTGTGTACACAAAAGTTGATCAATTCAAATGTGAGAAATTAAACATGGCAATCCCTTAGGGTCGGTTTGGAAAGTCACCAGGTAGGTCTCAAGTTATCCCCAAGAGAGCGAGTTTTAAGTATCTCGGGTCTATTATCCAGGGTAACAGGGAGATTGACGAAGATGTAACGCATCGCATCGGAGCGGGATGGATGAAGTGGAGGCTCGCTTCCGGTATTTTGCGTGATAGGAATGTGCCGCTAAGACTTAAGGGTAAGTTTTATCGAATGGTGGTTCGACCGGCTATGCTGTATGGGGGCTGAGTATTGGCCAGTCAAGAATTCCCACGCGTAGAAGATGAGAGTAGCAGAGATGAGGATGCTGAGACGGATGTGTGGGTATACCAGAAGAGATAGGATTAAGAATGAAGCTATCCGGGACAGAGTGGGAGTAGCCTCCGTGGAGGACAAGATGCGGGAGTCGAGGCTGGGATAGTTCGGACATATTAAGAGAATAAGCATTGATGCTCCTGTTAGGAGGTGTAAGAGGTTGGCCTTGGAGAGTTTGAGAAGAGGTCGAGGTAGGCCTAAGAAGTACTGGGGAGAGGTGATTAGGCAGGGCATGGCACTGCTTCAGCTCGCTAAGGATATGACCCTTAATAGGAGGGTGTGGAGGTCGAGGATTAAGGTAGAAGGATAGTAGGTAGTTTATAATTGTTCACCGATAGTCTTAGTAGTATGCATGTCCCTTCATATTCTTAGATTTTTATTACGTTATGTGGTTTTGTTCGCCTCAGGTATTGTATTCCCTGTTGCTATTATTTGGTACTACTTATCCTTTATCTCTCCATTTTTCTTTTCTCTTCCATCTTTCTTCCTTCCTTGCTTTCCTCCTCTTCTTCTTGCTCTTCCTGAGCTGAGGGTATATTGGAAATAACATCTCTACCTACATTAGGTAAGGGTAAGGTCTGCGTACAGACTATCCTCCCCAGACCCCACTTGGTGGGATCAAACTGGGTTTGTTGTTGTTGTTGTTGTACTAGTGTAGTAATTACACAATTGTATAGTTACAACAATATATTTATTTGTTATAGTGTAATTACTAATTTATTGTTTGATTGCACAAGTATAATTAGACAGTTATGTAATTTCAATCAAAATCTTGAAACTGAATGACACGCTTATTTCAAAAAGAAGTAAATAACGAGTAATTATTGTGTGGTTGATCAAAGTATAATTAATGTGTAGATGGTATATTTGATTAAAAATCGATTAAATTACACTAATATTATACATTTCTCCCGTAAGACAGAACAAATTGAATTCCAGTTTTGTTAGGTAAATTGATGTAACATTTTCAAATATTATTTTGAAAACCAAAATCAAACCAAACACAATGTCGACATTAGTTTTCTCAGATCTCGAAATCAGAAATGGTGGGTAGGGTCCCTTTGCATTTTGGTCTTTATGCAGTATGGGGTCCCCTCACCAACCAATTCAACTTTTTTTATCTTTGCATTTTTTTCTTTTGTGCTAATTTTCAATGTTTGTAAGTGGAAAAATGAAAAGAAAGAGAAAAAATAGTTTCTTTATCCCAAATAAAAGAGTGGAGTTCATTACTTAAATGATCACTCAATTATCTGAAATTATCAAGTAAAGTCATTTTTCTTTTGTTTGTAAGAGGAAAGTCATTTAACTATGTTTATAGCACTTACAAGGTCACTCAACCAAATTTCTCAAACCTTTGATTGTCAAATACCTATTTTACCCTCTAAAATAGGTATCTGATATTATGGACTTACCTATAGAACAAACAAATTTTATCTATAAAATAAAAATAGAATTGAGCATAATTTTTAAGAATATATATGTATATTATAAAAATACCTTTATTTTAAATATTTGTTTTTATATTACATGCATAGAATATATATTATAAAACCTTTATTTCTTTCATTCTCAATTATGTAAATATATTTTTTTTGAGTTTTTGTTGTTAATATCAATATTATTATTGCGAACAAATTGTTCTAATAATTTTTTTTACTATGCTTAATATTTTATTATTCAAACATTATATATGCTTAAACACTATTTTATTTTTTAATTTATAGATAAAACTTATTTATTCTATAGGCAAGTCCATAATATAAATTAAAAAGATAAAAATATCATATAATATTTAAAAGTTTACAAAAATAAAAAGAAGATAAAGCTTGATAATTTAGATGGTAAAATAGGTATTTGTCAATCAAAAGTTTGAGAAATTTATTTTACTTGACCTTCGGAGTGCTATAGACATAGTTAGTGACTTTGCAGCTATAAACAAAAGAAAAATAACTTTAATAGATAATTTCGAATAATTTAGTGACTATTTGAGTAATGGACTCCTAATAAAATGGTATAGGTTTTTCTACATTTTGGTTCTCTTTGTTCATATTTAAGATTTATAAAAGAAAAGTAATCGATGTGAAGGAGATTTTATCATTACAGACTTCTATTATATTGCCATGAACTAAATAAGATAATAATAATATAAAAGCTTAAGAACATTAATGGGTTAAATATGCCCTCAAAGTATGTGTGTGAGACCAAATATGCCTTCCATATGAGGCATTAAATTAAAAGCATATTTGAAGCAAGTATTGGACTACATAAGCATATTTATGTCAACTTATTAAAGACGGCAATATCTGCATAATACACTAATGATAATGAGAGAGTAAATTTTCAAGAACATATAAGCACATTGTCACTTTTCATTTATTTGTACGGAAAAGAGACTAATACAACTACAAACCAACATATTCAAGAGAGTTTACATTTAATCAACCCCAAAAAGAAAAAGTAAAAATAGAAAAATAACAGGTAATTGACAAACATTAACAAAGATCCTGTTGTTTGAGAACCAACTTCTAACAGATTGGAAGAGGTGCACCATTCCATTCCTTGAGACATTCTAACAATGAATCAATAATTTGTCCATTGCACATTGCTGTGAACACTTTGTCACATTCTTCACCTGGTGACCTGACTTTTTCTCCCGTCAATAATTCAGCTCCAAGTTCTCCTCTAACAAACCTGTAAAGTGGATAAGATCTGCATTCTTTTATCCTGTTGGCAATTGCAGGGTTCCCACTTTCCAGCGCGGCTCTTGCACTCTCGACTTCTTTTGGCAACACGGCCTTTAGCTCGTCTTCAAAAGCTAGTATCTTTTGGAAGATTGAGCTGTTTGCGTTCTTCTCATTTTCGCCATTTTGCAAGGCGTGGTCGACGAGGACTTGCCTTAGTTTCTGCATCAGTGGGTAGTTAGCGCTGCAGGCGTCGTCAGCATAGGCGAAGACGTATTCCCTGTCCACGACTCGAAGCAAGTCCTTTTCACAGAATCTTGATGGATGAAGTTCTCCATTGGTACCCATTGTTAAAGTTCTCTTTGCGACTTGGCTCACCGTGTTCTTGACTGCATTCCTCAGATTTTCTTCCAAATGCCTCAAGTCTATTGCTTGGCAAAGTGCAACTAGATATGTGGATGACATTAGCTTTAAGATGTCCACGGCTTCAGCTGTTTTTCTAGCTGAGATTAAGCCCAAGGAGTTCACATCTTGGTTGTGTTGCTCGGCGCTTTGTACGTGGTTAGTCACTGGATTTGCCAAGAATTGAAGTTCTGAACAGTATGAAGCCATGGCAATCTCAGATCCCTTGAAACCATAGTCCAAGCTAGGATTCCTTCCTGCTGTCAGATTAGATGGCAATCCGTTGTTGTAGTAATCGTTGACAAGCTCGGAGAATTGGGCAAACATCAATTTCCCTATTGATGCAAGGGCTAATCTAGCATTGTCCATAGAGACACCAATTGGAGTGCCCTGGAAGTTGCCACCGTGTAATGCCTTGTTTCTTGAAACATCGATCAAAGGGTTGTCGTTCACTGAATTAATCTCCCTCTCAATCATCTTGGTTGCAGAACGGATGACCTCAATTTGAGGGCCAAGCCATTGGGGCGACGTTCTAAGAGCATAACGATCTTGCTTTGGTTTTTGGAGAGGATCCGTTTCGTGAAGCTTCTGAGCCGCCTTCACATAAGAGCTACCATCCAAAATGTGTTCCATAATAGCAGCAGCCTCAATTTGTCCGGGGTGATGCTTCAACTTGTGTGTCAAGTGGTCAGTGAACTCGGGCTTTCCATTCATTACCTCAGCAAAAATAGCTGAGAGAACTTCAGAAAAGACCGCGAGAACATTAGCATCAAAGAGAACCATTGAGGCCAAACCAGAACCAACTGCAGTACCATTCACAAGAGCAAGGCCTTCCTTAGGCTGCAACTCGAAAAATCCACCGTTAACTCCAGCAACACGAAACGCTTCTTCAGCGTTGAGGGTTTCGCCATTAGGTCCAACTGCTTTAGAATTAGGCCGACCAGTGAGTAAACCGGCAATGTAGGACAAGGGGACGAGATCACCAGAGGCGGTGATGGTGCCGCGAAGGGGCAAACATGGAGTAACATTGTGGTTAAGCAATTTAGTGATTGCTTCTAAGATTTCAAATCTGATGCCAGAGTACCCTTGAAGGAGAGTGTTGATCCTAACTAACATAGCTGCCCTTGTCCCTGATTGTGGTAATGTGTGACATGACTCTGTTCCATTGCCAAAAACTCCAGCATTCAAGAACCTGCCATAGCAATATCATCAAAATTAGATACAGCCAAACCTCTCTATATCACCATCCATATATAATAATCATTCACAATAAAAGCTAAGTTTTTCTCGAAATCGATTTTTTATGTTATGTTATAATATATATTCTCTATAACAACACTTCACTATAGCACCAAAAAATATTGGAACAAACGTGACTGTTATATACAGGTTTGACGAATTACTGTGAGCGGTCTAAATTCCGACCCTTATTTCTTTCTTCATATCTTAAAGGGGAGCAAAGCCCATTTTTTGCTCTCTCTATTGATAGAAAAAGGGCACTCCTGCCATCGTTTCAGTGACTCATAGGGCTTCCCTCAACTCAGTCACCACACAACATCAAGTCATAGTAATTAAATAAATCTATAATGTTAATGGATACCTTTACTATAGTAAAAGAGAGGAATAGGCCATAAGTCTGAATTATGTAGGAAAAATAAAAGAAACACTTGAAAAATATGAGTCATTATTCTGTACATCATTTTCAAGTAAAACACTTTCAAGCGTGTGGACAATTGTGTAAGGGAGAAGAGCATGTTAGGTTAGATAGGTGTTCAAGACTTTAGAAAAATGACCTTTTCGCCAAAATCTAACAAATCAAGAACTAAAAGCAGCCAAGATTTGTAAATATTTTTGTTAAGAAAAGTGACAATTCCCAAAAAGAGAAAAAATTCATTTAGGCATATTACTCCAGCATTTATTGGAATTTGTTATTTATAGGATTTGGTAATGTGAGAAGGAAGCACATGGCACGACAGTGAGCCCTCTGAACCAAAAATGTAGGAAAGGCTAAACTGTCTGCACGTGCCCACATGTCACTTAACTCGTCTCTGAATGGCTCCAGCTGGGGCACCACACACTACTAGGTAAAAACTTATTTCCTTCCAATTTTTACACAAAATCAATTTATATAAAACATATGTTTAGCATATTACATTTTTTAAACACTTAATTATGTATTTTTAGTTGAGGGTATATCAAAAATAAATTCTTTTCCTTTTAAAGGTATGGGTAAAGTGTATTTACAGTTTACCCTTCTCAACCCTCACTTACGAGACTAAATTGATTGTTGTTGCTGTTGTAATTATGTATTTTTACTTCGTTTTATTGGTTCTTAAGGTTAATCAGGAATAAATATATATTTTGGTGCGGGTGAATATTTATCCACTTTTTTTTACCCTACAGGGCTACATCCACCTATTTCCTTAATTTACACTCAGGAGTTTATGCACAGAAGGGTTAGTCAGCTACTTTTTGTTAGTAATATACTTTTAGCACAAAGAAATGAAATTCTTTGTCTGTTTACCACGTCAAAATATTGACCTTTTCTTCCTGTTTGCAAAAACTTATGGACAGTTTTGTAATATAGAAGTGGTTGTTAATCAAAAAGACATAGGAGTAGTACTTTTTTGTAAAGAAAAAACATAGTAATTGTTTTGAAAAGGTTCTAACTATGTTCTATAAATGTAAACAATGTTGGCACTTTCAAATTATAAGACAGCAGATAAGAATCAAACACTAATAACAATCACTTACAAATAACAATAGTAACATGCTTGCTGTATATTAAGATAATTTTCTGCTAGCCTTTTTGTCAACATCTTATTTTTCTGTCCATTTCTGTCAAATTATCTAAGAATAACAAATTCCTATATTTTCCCATAAGAACATGTAAAATTCATAACATCTGTCAGTTTTTCACTAAACCTTCAACACAACATACTAAAAACGGGTGCATTAAGCTCCCCTAAGTGTGGGTCCGGGAAGGGCCGGACGGGTCTATGGTACACGGTCTTAAACTTTATTTTTACAAAAAGACTATTTTCACTGCTCAAACTCATGACCAGTTGAGCCAAGCTCTCGTTGAGAGATATAAACCTACTTAAAAGAGTAAAATATTACTATAGTATGTGAAGCAAAATTAAGTTAGATGTGAAGTGGTTTACCTAATAAGTTCCTTTTGAAGAGCACCACCATTCTTGGTCCTCCTATGTGAAGTAGCACCAAAGCCAGTTGTAACACCATAACTATCAGTTCCTTTACCCATACTGTCCATAACCCAATCACTGCTAGCTTTAACACCAGCTCTTGCCCCTTCAGAAAGCTCCACTTTAACAGTTTTAACATTATCTTTTGCAGCAATAGCCGCAACTTGAGCCACTGTCAAAGTCTCACCTCCAAGTTTCACTACTGGTTTCCTAAACTCAGCCACCATTTTCTTCACTTCATCTAAATGGCTTCCTTTCAATGAATCAGCTGCCATTTCCCAGTTTAATGGATCCACTTTCATGCAAAAATCCATTTCTTGGTGACCATTTTGTGCAACACCAGCCATTTTTTTTTGTGTAGATGAAATGAAATGAAATGATTCAAGAAAATGGAGTAAAAGTGTAAAGGGGTTGGTTTGTCTAGTGAAAAATTGAAGGTATATTTTTGGAAACAAGAATTGGGTTATTAATTAAATGTGAGGATGGGTAGAAAGATCCTGGTTATTGAAGCTAAGAATTGTGGTATAAATAGAGGGATGGGTATAATGTTTGGTAGGTGAACATAATTAGGGACCCCTTAAATGATTAATATGAATCGTTTGATTAATGTGTGAACAATTCCTTGGTAGGTGAACATAGGGGAAGATTAATATGGACCGTTGGATTAAAAATGTAATGAGCGGTTGAGATATAAAAACAACGTGGGTAAAGGATGCAACATGACTTTCAAAAGTTTTGGGGGTTGGTGGATTTGAAGAAAAGGTTTGGTGCTTTTGGGTTGTTGAAACACTAATTAAAATGGGATAAAATTAGGGATTTGTAATTAGATTTGGATCCTTCAATAGTTGGGGGTTGGTGAATTTGCGAAAGGGGTTGTTTGGATTGTTGAAAGAATCCTTGTAAATTTTAACTCAAATAGAAAAAAAGACTTCTTTTTCTTTCAAACACCAGTGTTTATGAAAAACTGAAAAAATCAAACTAACAAAAATATTTGATGGCTTGATTTGGTTTTGGATTTTAAAAACCGACCAAATTTGATTTAAAGCGAAAAATAATCGCAAAAAATCTAAATCAAACCAACTACATACTATAAAATAAAATACCTTTATTTTGCTAAGTTCAAGAGTTTATATCATATTAAAAATAACTTGTCTTTAATTGAATTCTTACATTATTCATCACTATACAATTCAATTATTATCAAGATATCTTGAAAAATGAAAGACTTTCTCAAAGATTAATTGGTTGGATAAATATGTTGGAATATAATCACCATACTATGTGCTTGACCATATATGTCTCATATTTAAGAAAACAAATCGACGAAAATCGAATAAATCAACAACCTAACCAATAAAAGATCGAATTAATTCGTTTGGATTGGTTTTAATATTTAAAAAATTGACTTAATTAATTTAGTATCTTTTTAGGAGAGAACCGATCCAAACTGAATTATGACCACCCTTACTCTCAAATATGAATTACTGTTTTAGTATGAAAAACGTTGACTTGCATATAAATTAAATTAAATAAAGGAATATTTGAGAATTATTTTTGTTTTATTTTCCGGAAAAAGGATAAAGATAAAATTGGCTTGAAATGTTTTTGTCGCAGTATCATAGTAGGCCATTTCTCTAATTCGAACTTAAGATAGACATGTTTTAAATTCGTCTTAATCTTCTTTGCTCTATTACCAAGTTTTGTATATATCAAGAATTGGAGGCATTATGTATTTGCTGTGAAGTTGAAGACTTTCATTTCTTTTTGCGTAACAGTGTTTATCATTTAGGCATGGAAAAATGTCATCTTGCCAAATTTTTTATTTGTTTTCCGAATAAGGAAGCATTCAATTTTAAAAAAAATAAGCTTGACTGAATATTGGTATACTTTAAATATAGAAATAGAAACATTTACACGACAAAAAGACTTAACATATTAGGTTTGGGTTTGACTTCCACGATTCGCCCTTTTCCTTTTCTTTTCCCGAATCCAACTCAATGTAATGGAAAAAATAAAAAATAAAAATGAAATTGAATAAATCAGACTCGTTTTTAAGGAGAGGTTCAAGTAGGTTTCTAGTGCACTTAAATTGGGAGAACAAGGAAAAATAGTTCTAAAATACCACACGTTTGCATACAATTTAAAAGGAAACGATATGTATTAATGATGCAAAAAGTATTTATATGATTAAGTCACTCATAAAGTAATTTAAAGTAAATGCTTATGATAAATATGTAATAAATTTTCTATAAAAATAATAATTAACCTAAGCACTTATCGTGGAAAATATTTACACATTGTAATATGTGTGTGTATATATTACTTTATTTATTTATTTATATGTTTATAAAGTAAATTCATTTGTTATATAGTGGAGGCTTATCTACTAAAGAAAGTCCACCAGTTTCAATTACCAAAAAACAAAAAAATCCACCAGTTTGCCATACATTAGGGCGTTTTTCATTTGTTTTTTATACTATAATATAATATAATATTTCCTTTCTATAACAATATATTAGTTTGACCGAGAATTGTACTAGTCAAGAACGCGTCCACAAAGTGCAGCCTACATGCATTCCACATAGACAATCTTCCGCCTTTGACTCGCGTCTGTGGACGATTTCATTTTAATGTAATATTTAAACTTCTAGTAATCAAATTACATAAATCTTTTTGACAAAAAAAAAAACTTAATTCTTCAAATTTTAACTTTAATGACATTTTTTACATATAAATTAAACCTTTTAATTAATAGTTAATATTTTCTTTCAGTAGTACTTACATGATACACGTGTGTAATACTAGTTTTAACTCATTGTTTTGTCAAATAATGTTAGATAAAATAATATGATTTGATTGGTCTATTAGAATATAAATAAGGTTTTAACAACCATTAGGAAAAAACGAGTGAGTTCCAATTATGCTCCTTTTTTACATGTAATCTTTTTTAATATGCTAGGAAGGTTGTTAGTATGGCCTTGACTAAGACAAAAGATCAAGGTGAGGAAACTTCAAGTATGGTACCCTTTGTTAGGAGAATTCCATGCTATTAATTTGAACTTTAACCTGTCGAATGAAGTCTTTATTTATATTGTGATTGGGATGGATCGGATCCTATCACCTTAACTCAATTGTCTCGGATTCAAATCTTGAGTATGAAAAAAATCTTGATAGGGAGCGATTCACTTGTAATGACCTCACGCGATGCAAATCCAAATTAATAGGGACCTCAACATCACTATAACATTTAAGGCCTCCGGCCACCCCTGAAAAGTGTGGCCTAAGATGTCAAGAAGTGTAACATTTGATCAAAGGTAACACTTTACGCCTTTAGGCTATGCTTTTACGGTGTGGCCTAAAGAACCGTAATCTTTGACCTATGGCCACACTTTTTACGTGTTGCCTTAGAATCCACGCTTCAAAAGTGTGGCCAATGCGGTAAAAAAGCTACGCTTTATATTTTCTCTTATAGCCACGCTTTTATGACGTAAAGCTACATGTTTGAAGCGTGGTCTTGGGTTCCTTATAGACCATGCTTTTAAAGCGTGGCTTCTAAAGCAACAGTCATCAATCATAGCGCCAAATGCGAGTCCCTATGGCCACATTTTCTAAACGTGGTAATTTTGTGTACGCTGTAAAATCATTTTTAAAATATTTATATTTGCCACAATTGTATATTTTAAGAAATTTTAGTTGCCTACATTAAATTATGTATTCACATAAACTTCAAGCATATACATTATGATCTAAAGCATTAAATTAGATAATAAGTAACAGAATAAAAATAGGTCAATTGCATGTACTTGAAATAAATTTCAACAAAGAAATATAATTTGTGTAGTATTGCCCATACTAATAATGCACTACTTCAAGTTCACTAGCAATAAACGCTACAAAATAAAATTTATTCATATAAGTATCAATAATAATAAACATCACAATTCTTCAAAAAGTCTTCCTCTTTCACTTCAATATGTCAAATTGATTTGTGGTCACCACTTTCAGTTGCATCAGCCGCATTTTCCTACACATTCAAAATAAAATTAAAAATTAAAAAAAAAACACTAAAATATAGCATGGAGAAAACTTTGCCTAGACTGATAACCCACAAAGTTGATACGAAAGCATGACGCTCCACCTTCTCTATAGAAGCAGTCAATTGAGTTTTGAACGAATTAGCTCCTTGGTAATGGCTTAATCTATAGATAGAAAACCCTATGATGGGAAACTACCACGCTAGGTTTGGAGAGAGATGGAACCGATTATATAATAGGGGAAGCATATGCAAGCTTTTTCTTTCAATAGCCGGCCAAATGACTGCAGGATCATCGGTCTACTCTACCTCAATTCATCATTTTGGACCTTATACAAAAGGTTTTTCCGTACTAACTCGTTATACCTATACCGCAGTTGAAGCACCTAAAGGAGAGTTTGGTGTCTTTCTTACGCTTTTAGAGCAATAAATCTAGTGAAAATTTCTCATTGTAATGAATGAATAAAGGCAAAAGGAGATTAAGAAGTACTTAAATTCCGAATGTAACTGTGGATTTCCCTCTATCAGGAACTTGATATTTTTTATGTTTGTTTGAATGCATAGCAGTAGTATGTAGATGTGAAAAGGGCAAGAATCATTGAATATCTTCATAAACTTGTATAAACAGAGTCTCAAACCCAATCAAGAAACTAATAAAGTATCTATAACCCAACTAGAGAAATCCAAGGATGATTCGAGAATCGATTGTTGAAGACGTGACAGCCACAAAGAAATGTTATGTGCATGAATCCTATCACAGAATTCACAACATACCATCTTCATGTAGCCTTAATTCTTCTTCAGCTAAATGATAAATTTTCTTCAATAGACCTTAGAGTTTTTTTACGCTTTTCGCCTTTGATAACACTGATTGTCTATAAGACAAGAAAATTGATTGATCCTCCATGAAAACAGTCCTAATATTTTAATCTATGACAATCTGCTGCAAAACGACAACAGATAAGCAAATTCTTGTACAAGAAAAGGTGCAGACGTCAAATTCAAGTAGCTTTTGGATATTCAATTTAAAACATCAAGCCATTTTATATAACTTTTTATAGTCCTCTTCACCTCTTTGTATTATTAGCATATATATACCAACAATCTGATACTACATACCAATAAATGGGGGAAAGAAACAGATATAGAAAATAAGTTAAAGTACATGATTAATTCCATGATTTGAGAATACAAAAAAGCAATTCAAGTAGCTAAAAGTTAGTAAAAGATTTAATCTTTTTCCATAATATAGGTTCAAAACATCATATATATATATATATATATATATATATATATATAAGAAACAAATATCTATATACGTCAATAAGCAATTAACAACTGCTTAATTTCTTGCTCAAAACTCTTGCAATTAGCAAAAGAAAACAGTTTAAGCATAAATGCCATCACTTTTTTCCTATCAATATTGAGTGAGAAACAAAAAGAAATAACTTTCTTCTTTAAAAAATAATTTTTCCTTTATTTTTTCCACCTTATATATCAAAAATGTAAATTTGTACTTACTTTCCATTGTATCTCAAATCCGGTGCTTATGATTTGGAGGAGAATACATCTCAGATTCTAAGCAACTACTTGTAAGTTTCTGAGCTATCTTCCACATGGATTTTTTATCCCTAGACTAGAAATGAAGTTTCCTTTAGCAATTATGCTCAAAATTGCAATTTCACTCAGGTTTCCCATTTCAAGGTTCTTACTAACAAATTTCACAACAATTATGCAAAATTGACCCCTTGTCCTTTTTATGTTTTTAAGTAAAAGAAAAGTAGAAAATAGAGAGCGATAGAGTTTTAATTAACTTTTTTGGTTCTCACTCGTTGCCCGGGATCCACATTGAGACCCTGACTAAATTCGGATTCACACCGACAAATTTCATATTGGGGAATAAAGCGCTCCCTAACAAAGGTGACTCCATACTTAGGGACTCGAACCCGAGACCTCTGGTTGATGATGGAGGAATACTTATCACTCCACCACAATATTTATTGTTGAGTTTCAAATTTTCAATGAAGTAATTTTTTTTACTGTTAATATGTATTTTTTGTAAAAGCGAATCCAAAATTTAATGAACTAGCTATTATTTATTTAAATTTTATAAATATTTTAATAGATACCAAAATTTTAAGCAGTAGCTATTGAGTTAACGTATATTCCATAACATTTAATTAAAATTATTAGTCCGCGCACACACACCACGAGTTTTTTGAAGTTGATGGCAAAATTGACAGCAGTGAAGCAAATTGAAGCAACGTGTCCTCCACCAGGTCATGATAACCAGTTAACCACCACGAAACTTATATAGGAGCAATTAATACCCCATCATACCACTTGCTCTCTCATCATTTTACTACTGGCTGCTTTAGCATTTTTTAAAAATATTTTTTATTACATCAGATAACGGGAAAGTTTTCTTAAATATTTTCTAAATACTAAGAAAATATATTACTGAAGTTGAAGTGACAGTGCATGCAACTTCTAAAGGAGCCCTAACGATTTACAATAATAACAACAAACTCAATGTAATTTTATAATTGGGGTTTAGAGAGAGTAGTATGTACATCGACTTTATTCTATTTTGTAAAGGTAGAGATGATATTTTCTATATACCCTTTGCTCGAAAAAAGTATGGAAAGGAAGAAAAACAGTAACAACAAGAAGATAGTGAGATAGCTAAAGCAAACGAAATAACAGATAATACTATAAATCTAAAAATAAGAGAATGTGAAAATAAAACTACTACTACCATTATGGAAAGGAAAGATGTTCGATTACCTACTGACGAGCACAAAATACAGCGAGAAATTTATGCTCGCTAGCTAAAGATAGTGTAGTAAAACCATCATCTCCACATGGATTGGATTTAAATAATGGTCAAGTAATTTCTAGTTAGCTGCCATCCATATCGATTAACACTTTGATTTGGAATGATTTTGAACTAAAATTAACTACTTAAATAAAGCAAGCAACAATTGATCACGAAAAGATAAGAGTTAAGCAACACCGAAATAATCAATAAGAGAGAAAAGGGTCGCGACAGGATAGGTGCAAGATAGTTATTCCGGATTTAACTTTGTTTAAATTTACTTATAATATTTCAATGATTTTCACAAATTCACTAGATGATTAGCTTAATCGTAAGGTAAATATTCCTCACTCGATTAAATCTGAACTCTACGAGGTAAATTAATATGAAGCACGATGAAGATATGCAATAACATGTAAATGGATTAGTCTTTAAAAAACGTCTCTCGAATATGCTCCTAAGTGGTTTAATCAACAATTCAAAAAGTTTTTTCGATTACTTAGAAGAATCACTCAATTAACTAAATCAAACAAAATAATACAAAGATAATCATCCAAAATATTTCTCTTTCGATCAAATAAATCGGTGAACAAAAAATTGCATTCAATTCAAAGCTCCATAAACAAATTCATGCAAGTAAACTAGAATTAAAATCCACAAATAACAATCAAAGCATCATATCCATCAAACCCTAAGGTAATTTACTCCTTAATCATGGAAGTAACCATCACAAATAAAGTTAAAGTATAAGAACACATAAATCCAGCATTACAATCCAAATTCACGAATTGAATTGATGGAAGGAAGATGAAATCTTGAGTCTTGAAACCTCCAATGCTCTCTCAATCCTCCGTAGATCAAAAATTCCTTCAAAAATGTGTTTCTAGTGTATTTATACTAAGTCGGAATGGGCTTGGACCAAATTAACTTCTTCAAGCCTACGTGGGACCTGAAGAAATTTTTACACTGATGTGTCGCATAGTGCTACGCATGGCGCATCACATTAGTGTATTTTCTTGTCAAACGCGCAAAAACTCCAAGTCTCTGAACTTCTTAAACTTCTGACGAACTTTTATACTAATGTGTCACTCAATGCCAAGCCTTATGCGACACACTAGTACATTTTGCTCTAGCCCTTGCACTTTCTTCCAACTTTTATATGCAACGCCGGTCCACGGGCCCAGATATGATCCTGAATGATCAATTGAAGCTTTTTTGTCACGACCAAAAATCACGTGACCGGCACCCGGCACACTACTCGACCCGAGCGAACCAAACCATGTGATGCACCCAAATCATATGCATGAAAACCAATTTAACCTCGGAATCTCCTTGAAAATCATATACATTTTCAAGTTAAATGATAAAATATTTTCTAATTCAAAATCACACATAATGCCTTTCATGATAATAATAATAATGAGACTAAGTAAAATAAATATATTTTCATGAATGCCGTGTACAACCCCGTTACTACAACCTTTCACAACTTTCTATGGAGCCTTTATACCAAAGAATAGAATTAAACACTTGGGCTAATACCCGACTAGCATAAATTAAGAAAATAATATGATAGCTACCATGAAATAGGAGTGGTGCCTCACCATATACCTTAGGAAGAGAGTCATCCTAGCCTTAACCGCATGCCACGTATCATACCTCATCCTGAAACATGTAAAGTAAGCGGGACCCTGGAGAGGGGCCCTAAGGGCTGAGTTGTCACGACCCAAAATCCCGCCACAGGCGTCGTGATGGCACCTAGTCTCTAATACTAGGTAAATCGATTTCAATTAAATTTTTGAAGCCTTTTTTTATAAATAAATAATCAAAACTAACAGCGGAACAAATAAGAATATACAACATCCCAAGACTGGTAATACTCAGTCACGAACTCTAGCTGAATATATGGAATGATGACGAGGACCAAATATACAATATTGTTTGATTAAAAATTAACAGTACAATGAAATGAACAGTCTCCAAGGGACTGCGATGACCAAGCAGCTCTACCTTGAATCCTTGCGATCATACTCTAACTCTGTCCGGGTCCGATACCTCCAATACCTGGCTCTACACAAAAATATACAGAAGTGTAGTATGAGTACACCGCGGTCGGTACCCAGTAAGTATCAAGACTAACCTCAGCGGAGTAGAGACGAGGTACAGTCAAGACACTCACTAGTCTAATAACCTGTGCAATATAGTATACAAAATAATACTGGAAAATAACTAGCAATGATAACAACAAAATCAACCAGTGATATAACAACAATGCAACAAGAACATCATAATTATTGCTCAGACGAATAAGGAACATAAGTACAACCAATTAATCAAATCCTTCAAATATAAATTCTTTCGCCTATATAAAAAATAATAATCTTCAGGATATAATACTTTCCAATAAATATATTTTTAAGTAAAATTCACCATGTGACACCTCATTTCACAATCATAAAAATTACAGGTCTCAGTCCACTTTTATATTTTTCCACGGCACCTCGTGCCCATATTTCTATCACCATCACACGGACAACTCAAGTGTCAAAATATCAATGTATATAAGATCCGCAAGATCAATTTATTTTCACTAAAGTAAGGTTAAAATTTTTAAATCAAGTAAGAAATTAACAAAGGAATGAATTTATTTTAGAAATTATTTGGGTCAAGAAAATGACATTTCAATTTAAATGAAGCATCCGATGACTACTAATTTGGATGTAAAATTTATTAAATTAAAACATAATAGCAATTTCTTTTATTCGAAATAACTCAATTCTCGAAAACCAGTAAAAAATCATAAACACAAATCTACAGAGTCTTGTACAAAGAGCCAAAGCCAACACAATACAATAAGGAATACAAAACACATAATAAAATCAAATAATACATCACGGAAAAATACAAGAATTTACATATCACGAAAAAATAAAATAACATAAGGCAAGTGCATCCATAGAAAAATATCAACCAAAAGAGCACTCCCGAGGTACCGCCTCGTAGTTCCAAAAGTAAATATGCAAGACAGAGGGGATCTCCCGAGGTACCACCTCGTAGTCCCAAAAGTAAATATGCAAGACAGGGGGATCTCCCGAAATACCGTTCCGTAGTCCCAAAGTAAATATGCAGGACATGAGGGATCTCCCGAGGTACCGTCTCGTAGTCCCAAAAGTAAATATGCAAGACAGGAGAATCTCTCGGAATACCGTTCCTTGGTCCAAAAGTAAATATGCAGGGCAGGAGGATCTCCCGAAATACCGTTCCGTAGTCCCAAAGTAAATATGCAGGGCAGGGGAATCTCCCGTAATACCGTTCCGTAGTCCCAAAGCAAATATGCAGGGCAGGAGGATCTCCTGGAATACCGTTCCGTAGTTCCAAAGTAAATATGATTTCAACAACTGAACATCAAGTGCTCACATATCACAAATGGCTCATCAAGTGCTCAAATATTACAACATATCACGGAAATCAACAATACATCATTTTCCATAATAAGGAGCCCATTGCTAGACCATAATGTGCACAAAATTCTTAACAAAAATATCCGGGAGTGAACAACTCAACAAAATAATATTTCACATAAATTCGAGGTGGCAATCATACCAAATCATCGTATAAAAATAATTTCAACAAACAAGGATCTAGGCATGACAAATAGAGGATTTAATAAGTGTCAATAATTTCCAACATAATACATAAGGGCGTCTAAGGATTTTAATCAACGAAATTTGCACATATAAACCAAGTATGTACTCGTCACCCCGCGTACATGATTTTCAATTTCACAATTTGCACATAATACTCAATACCTAAGGGATATTTTCCTTACTGAAGGTTAAGCAAGACACTTACCTTTTTGAAGTTATGCCAATATTTCAAAATCGCCTTCTTGCTTGAATTGACCTCCGG